CGGCAGGCCATGATTACTTATTTGTGGAGATCGTGCCCAAGTTTCGTGCGGAACCCAAGGAACGGCCCGGATCCCCGCTGGAGCGTCCACGTGGACTTTGCAAACTCCCCACTCCTCCGCTTGGCCCAGCTGAGGACTGAGGAGTTGGGGGGCTTATGATGGGCCGATATCCAGAGGACGGCCCAAATGAACCATTTAAACAGCTTCGGGTCAAGCACCTGTGAAATACTCAAGCTGGGCCGGCCCAAGGAGCTGGGCCTAGTTAACCTCAGGCCAAGCGCAGCTGGCAGAGTCAGTCCGGAGAAGGAGACGGAGCTGATTGGCCGTTACGGAGCCGGAAAAAGGGGATCGCGCCCTTGGCGGGCTAAACTCCATCGGTTATGCTTCACCTTAATTGTTGAGAGCTCGTGTATAAATAGAAGGGACCCGAAAGGGGAGAAAAAAAGCTAAATCAAGCTAGTAATACACATCCAATTCTCGAATTCTTGTTCTTAATTTTGTTCTTGCGATCCGCTCTGTAAATCGGATCATTTGGTGGATTTATTGTCCATCACCTACTAATTTTTTAAATCCAAAACATTCCATCAAAATTCTGATTGCATACACCCTCCCCCCTAAAACTATAACCTCATCGTAATTTCGAGGTATATTTAGAATTTTTTGAAATTTCAAAAGTCAGTGAATATTCAATTCAGATTTTAAAAACATTAGATTTTAAAAGATTTTTATAAAATATAGATTTTGATGGATTTTGGGCTTTGGGTATAAATTGAAATTTATTTCCAAAATCTCACAAAAAATGTAAAGATTTTGCCGACTCCACGTAGGTTCTGTTGGTTCTCTTTCATCGGCTCCTTTGACGCTCTTCACATTCTCCTTCATGGTCTCCTTCACCTTCCGATTTTTCTTCAATTCATTGTGTCCTTCTATCAAAGCCAATCTTGGGAACACATTAAAACCCTAGTTTTCTTCACCTTCCGCTGGCGACATCACCATTTGACCAAAAGTTGGTGATTTGTCTCGCGACGTCTCCCTTACCCCAAGTTGCTATTTGCCATCAATCCACTTTTTTTGAGGAGCATCAATTCGTCAACAGAATTTTGTTTGCCATTTTACTTCTTTTCTTTAAGTATGGAGTACTTGCACAATCAATTTTTGTCATGTTTGATATTTGTTTGAACTTGGTGATGGATATTCGGGCCCAATAGACGCGAATGAACAGCCCAATCCACAGGAGCATCTTAGGCCGGTGTGGAACGAGGGAGTCTGAACTAGAGATAAAAAGGCCTAGTTCCCGTCAATTGGACCAAACGTATAATGAAGGTACCGAACAACGCAAGGACATGGAAAGATTAAGGGTTGAAATGGTGAACCTCCACGATCGGCGAGAGATAATGGCAGGATTTATGCGCATGATGAGTGCCCATTATGTATGTAATTGTAATCTAGTATAAATAGAGGGAGAACCATCCATTGTAAGGCAAGTGAAAAGCACGGATACACACAAAGTAATAGAAATATTGTGAGATTCATCAATTATAATTATTTTCCATTCTTCGTCCTCATATTTGTTGGGCTAATTCCCATCATTGGTGCTTTCATTAAGAGATTAAGGATGAAAGATTATGAGTTGAGAATATGGCTGACCGAAGGACGAGAAACTTTAGGCGTAGTGCTGCTATCCTCAGCAGTCGTCAGCCACGCCAAGAGTCCGTGAACAACTAGTCGCCACACAGCCTAGCGGCGTTGAAGAGGCGTTAAACAACCTTGACAACATGATGGAAAATGTTATGGATAAACTCGAGACTCTTCCCAGTCCCTTTGGGCTCCGAAGGCAAATTCCCTAGACGCGACCAGAATAGGCGAATCCCATTCTGCTGGAACTCCATGTTACGGAGGAGATCGAATGAGAAAGATAGGTCCTAAGAAAGCATATCGAGGAAGAGTTAGTCTCGAACTCCCGGGAATGCGAAAGGCTAACTCGGGCAAACCCTCAAGACTTGATTGTTCGACGGTTAGATGGCCAGCCACGCCATGCAGAGACCGGGAACCTCGGGGGTTCAGTTTTTGACCGAATGACATAAGGGAGGATACCAGTGAGTGCACGATTGGGGATGAATCTGAAGAAAGCTCCACTCAGATGGGAGCCACCCCAACTGAGTCACGTGGAATCATCAAACCGGGATCCACGCCACATTGGGTCACGAGTTGACCCAAGGAAAGTAGTAGAATATGAGGCCCACAACCAAGTTCGGGTATCGACGTCCCAGCGCCTAGGCCATCGTAATCTCGGAATGGAGGACTTTCAATATTTACAAAGCCAAATTCAAGCGATGAGGCTAAGGTTCAACCATGGCCGGGTCTTCACCACCTAGACAAACACCCCATTAGCCCCGGAGATATTCGCAGAACCATATCCCGTGGGATTTAATGTTTCATTGGTCAGGCGATATGATGGGGAGTCAGATCCCTAGAAGCATATAAACAGTTACATACAAATGATGATAGTCATGGATGCAACAGACGCCCTGATGTGTCGTTATTTTTTTCCAAACATCTATAGTAAGGTGGCAGATTGGGTCAACCATATTCCCTTGGGGTTGATCCAGACCTAGGACTAGTTGGGTTTGTGCTTCTTGAAGATTTTAACCGGGAACTGCCGCCCAAAGAAGCATTTCACACACTTGGCATCAATACGTTAGAAGAACAGAGAATCTTTGAAGAATTTTCTAACACGCTAGATGAAGGAATCCAGGGAAATAGAAGGTACCAACAACAAGGCTTGCCTAACAATGTCTATTGCTACTCTTCAGGAAGGACTTCTCCTCACGGATCTAATGACCCATCCCCCGGACACCTTTGAAGAAGCTATGGTCTAGGTTGGGAGACACGTCACCCCAGAAGAACCCAAGGAGGAAAAGAAGGAGAAACCCAAAGAGGAGGAGCAAAACAAGAAGAAGGGGAAGGCGCAAAAAGGCCAGGAAGAAGACGGATTTCCTAGATGCGCCTAAGGGACAATCAACCAGATCTGTGAATACCCCCAAATCACACAATCCGGTGTTCACCATCCCAATAGGGGAAGTGATGATGCACGCTACCCAGCACGGTCTTATGACATGCCCCACTTACTCCCAAAAGGTGTGTAACATTGAGGAAACAGGGAAATGGTGTGCGTATCATTGGAAGAATGATCATAACACGGAAGATTGCTAAACCCTGAAGGACAAAATGGCCCGGCTGATCCAGAGAGGACATCGAAAGAAGTTCGTCCAGAACCATTCTGAGGAGGAAACCCGGAACTCAGGACCCAAGAGATGTAAGGAGGGAAAAGTTGCTAGGGTGGAATCCCAAAACAAAAGACAGATTGGCTTAGAAGAGGAAGAAGAAGAGGATTCAGAACTAGCTCTAAATCGGCAGAAGAGGCACCATGGGTGCAACTACATCATTGGCGGAAATACCAGGGGAGATTCGGCCACCAGCAAGAAGAAGTGGGCGAATGGAGTCTCGGTGAACAAGGTTATAGCTCCCCTGTTTAAAGGTAAGAGAATCAAAACTGAGCCCATTACTTTTTCTAGTATGGATTTACTAGAGACGAGAGTCCCTCACAGGGACGCGCTGGTGATTACAATTGATATCATGGACTAACTGATCCACAAAACATTGGTGGATAGGGGAAGTTCCGTGAACATCATGTATAGTGACACCTTCAAGGCTTTGGGATTGACTCAAGAGGAACTGCTGCTTATTAACATTCCCTTGACCGGGTTCACCAGAGATTGTATCGAGCTGGAAGGCGTTATCACCCTACCAACGGAGGTGGGTGACACTAAGGCGAAGTGGTCATTGGATATGGAACTCGTGGTGGTAGGGATTGTATCAAGTATGAACGTAATCTTAAGTAGGCTAGGCCTGGAAGACCTGCAGTGCGTAATCTCACCCAGACACTTATGCATCAAGTTTCCAACACCATTCTGGGTAAGTGTGGCCCGGAGATCCAGAGAGTATCCGGGGCATGGTATTTCAAAGCAACGAAGGAGCTAGTTAAGTTCCACACCTGATAAGTCCATTTCATTCTTATCATTATATCATATTCTAAAAGTTAGTGCACATAAATAGCATTTAATCATCTCATAAAACAGGTTTTCAATGAATAAAAATTTCATTTTTGTTCTATGAGTCATAAAAAGGAATTCCACATGAAATCAGCATAAATCATCCATTTTATGTCCAAATACTTGAGAAAAAGGGAATAAACCATCAAAGGGTCAAGATTCGGACTTGAACGAGCTTCCGAGAGGTCAAAAATAGTGTTCTAGGCCAAAATGAAGTGAAATTGGGCCAAAATCAAAAACCTCCGCATAGCCTAATGGACTAGGGGCTTGAGGCGTCCAACTTTGACGCCTGGTCAAGTTGGACGCTTTAGGGTTGGACGCTTCAGGTGAATTGCAGCCCAAGAATGACACGTGGAAAAACTTGGTTGGCCGAGATAACTCAGGCGTCCAGATCTGGACGCCTAGTCTTGGAAGCTTTGACTTGGACGCCTTGGCTCCATCCCTATAAATACAGCACGAGTCTCCTCATTCTTCCCATCCAATACATTCCCAACTTTTGGATTTATACCTTTTATCTCCATTCTAGCTTCTAGATTAGTGTAGTAATAGTTTTGAAGTATTTTTTCGGAGAATTTGTACTCTAGAGTTGTCCTATTCCGCTTTTACGGAAGTTATTAGTTTTCTTAATTTAATACAATGTTATTTTAATTATCTTGCATAGTATGAGTTAGGGTCCGGACCTTTGGGCCCGAACTAGTTTGGTTCAATACTTGAATATTTAGTTAATGTTAGAATGATTAGTTAATTAATATTGAAAACTTTAATTAGCTATTTATTGAGAAAATATTATACGACGTAAGGCTGTCATGTTCAAGTCAACAAGAGTAATTACGAATCCTAGAAATAGGTGAGTAATAATAGGAATATTATTATTCCAATTATTAATCCTGACCCTAGCTCTAGATCTGTACTTATACTATGTGAAATTTATTTATTATTGTTACTCTGCTCTATTTAATATCGTTACAAGAAGACTTTCATAAACCTATCCTAACCATTGCCTAGTTAGAGAAATTAACTGATTCCCTTCGACCACTCCCCGAGAGACACGATACTCAAAGAGAAGACTAACCCTTTATCGGGAAGGTTTACTACTTGAAAAACTACAACTATCAACACCTATGTTGGAGAAGTAACATCTCATTTGCTGAAGGCGAAGGATAAGCGCCCTCGGGTGGATGTAGCAGTAGATGTAGAGGAGGTAAGCTTGGAGCCAACCGAACCGGACAAGAAGGTCAAGATAGGCAAGGGTTTGGGGGCTGAACTCTCACCCCGTGTAATCACAGTACTCAGAAGGTTCAGGAAGGTTTTTTCCCGGAGTCCGGCAGACATGCCCAAACTCGACCATAAAATCGTTGTCCATAGGCTAAATGTCCTTTAATTTCTGGAGCAAAACCGATTAAGCAGAAAATGAGGTATCCAGCTCAAGAAAAGAAAGAGTTTATCAAGAAAGAGGTAACCACACTATAGAGCATTGGACACATTCGAGAGATCCAGTATCTAGAATGGTCGGCCAACGTAGTCCTTGCACCCAAGCCTCCATCCTAGAGGATGTGTGTGGAGTATATAGACCTGAACAAGGCCTCTCTGATGGATCCATTCCCGCTGCCAAACATAGTTCAAATGGTAAATAAAACCGCATGGTGTGAATTAATGAATTTCATGGATTCATTTAGGGGGTACTATGAGATCCGGATGCACCCCGCATATGCGGAGAAGAGGAGTTTTATATGACTCTAGAAGGTTTGTACTGTTATCTGGTAATGGCTTTTGGCTTGAGGAATTTCAGAGCTTCGTATACCCAGATGGTATCACAAGTGTTCAGTCTAGTCCTAGGCCGGATCATGGAAGCTTATGTTGATGACATGATCATAAAATCAAGGCAAGCCCAAGACCACGTCGGTGACTTGGAAGAGGTGTTCGGGATCATGGTGAACGTGAATCTTCGACTCAACCCTAAGAAGTGTACCTTTGCGGTACAAGGGGGGAAATTCCTAGGACACCTGGTGAGCCAAAAAGGAATTGATGCAAAACCTGAAAAAGGGAAAGCGATCTTGGAGATGGAACCTCTAAAGACAACCAAGGAAGTACAATGGCTAACTTTGAGGTTAGCGGCCTTGAACAGATTTTATCCAAACTGGCAAAAAAAAGCACATCCATTCTTTACCGTAATCAAGAAGAAGGAAACGTTCAAATGGATGCGGGAGTGCCAAGAAGCATTTGAGGGGTTGAAGAGATACCTGGCCAATCTCCCCATGTTGTCCAAACCAGAGCCAGGTGACACTTTCATTCTATACTTAGGCATTTCAGACTGTGTAGTGAGCACGATTCTTATACGAAAAGAGGATGTTATACAACATTTGATTTATTATGTTAATATGACATTGAGGGATACAGAGTTGAGATACTCGCGTCCAGAGAAGGCAATGTTGGCAGTCTACTGGATGGCAAAGAGGTTGACCCCATATTTTCAAGCGCATCGGGTGAATGTATTGATGAGTGAACCGTTGGCCTCCCTTTCCCAAGTCCCGTTGGCCTCAACCCGGATGATCAAATGGGCTGTTTTCTTGAGCTAATATAAGGTCGAATTCAAGCCACACCCTTCGATTAAGGGGCAGGCACATAAGGGCACCAACTCCAACATCATGTGATTCGAAATCAAATTGTTCCAGTACTCCACTGTTGTGAAGTTTAGATATGTGTTTCTGGTTTATATGGCCCAAACGACAATGCCATAGATACGTGAGATTCATACCATTTGGTTTGGATCTCTTCGCTGATATGTTATATACGGGAATGTCTAAATCAAGGACATACAATCCATTAGTCATATTAGCATTAGCATAAAACACACCATATTTATAAATGGAACAACATTTGTCCTTTATTATTACGATAAAACCATTCTTGTCAAGACATGAAACGGAAATTACGTTTTTGCTAATAGCTGGAACAAACAAACAATTCTCTAATTGTAAAATAAGACCAGATGGAAAAGGTTAAACTATAAGTGCCGACAGCCACAACATCAATAGTTGTGCCATTGCCCACACGTAGTTCAACCTCCATGTGAGTCAACTGCCTACTCTCTCTCTGTCCTTGCGATGAAGTAAAAATGTGAGATCCACATCCCGTATCTAGTACCCATGATCTCTCTGTCCTTTCTATAACATACACACCTGAAGTGGAAGTATATCATCCTCCTTCTTCAGGGTCATGTAGTGCGCCCTTGCAGCCAGGAACCTCTCATGCTCACCTTGACCCACAAAGAGGTCACCCAATCCAACGATCATATCAAGTGATTTCATGTCATAAAATTGCTGCGAGAGCTCATTCGACATGGTTGCTAGCATAAACTTCAACACAGTTTCATCATCAGTTACGTGTTTAATTAAAATATTTTAAAACTCTAGAATATCCAAATTAAAATTTTCGAATATTCAAAATTTTAAAATAAATTAATTACCGTAAATATACGTATTACTTTCAAAATAGGGATTTTAGTTACGAATATTCCAAATATTCCAAAAATTAATAAATTCAAAAATAAAGATTTTTTCTCCTACTCAATCTGAAAATCAAATTTCCAAAGTATTACAATTTTATTTTTACAAGTATATCAATTAATTAATTAAGGAAATTGAAAACAATTTCAATAAGTTATTTCCATAAATCCGAAATATTCCAAAATCTTTATTTTAAAAATATTCTGACCTAATTTCCAAAATTATTATTTTTAGGTAATTAAAAAATTAATTATAATTTAATTAATATAAACAAGATTACCGAGAATAAATAATTAATAAATACAAATTAATTATTTGAACTCCAAGATATATTCCCAAATAATCTTACACAATCTGAAAATCATATCTCTATTAGAAATATTAGAACGAATTCACAGCAGAATATTCATCTTATTGAATACATCTCTAATGATGTCTATAAATATTACAAAGTTAATAATGAAGACAATCAAGGAAAGTGAGTGGAAGTTAATCAAATATCTTGATTGGTAATTTGATTCCAGTCAAGGATATTATCAAGATATTAGACTATTCCTTTTTTGTTGGATATTTCTAACACTCCCCCTCAAGTTGAATCATCCAATTCGGATGTTTAACTTGCTTAATGTCGCTTGAAAGATTCTAGCTGGTACTGCTTTTGTGAGAATGTCTGCAAATTGATCTTCAGATCGGACATATGGAAGACTGATGATATCTGCCTCGAGTTTCTCTTTGATAAAGTGACGATCAATCTCGATGTGCTTGGTACGATCATGTTGTACTGGATTCTCTGATATACGAATAGCAGCGGTATTATCGCACATCAGTTTACATTTTCCCTACGGCGAATACCCCAAATCTTTAAGGAGTTTTCTTAGCCAAAGAACTTTGGTAATTCCTCGAGCGATACCTCTGAATTCTGCTTCCGCTCTTGATAGAGCAACTACCTTTTATTTCTTGCTTTTCCATGTGACCAGATTACCTCCAACAAAGGTGAAATACCCTGAAGTGGATCTTCGATCGTTTGGATTCCCTACCCAGTCAGCATCTGTGTAGGCTTGAATATCTAAGTGACCATGTTTCTTGAATGTAACCCCCAAATTATTGGTCCCCTTAAGATATCTCACAATTCAGAGAGCTGCATCCGAGTGTTCCTTTTGTGGTTTGTGCATGAACTCACTTACCACTCTAACAAATGCAATATCAAGTCTTGTGAGTGCGAGGTATATAAGTCTTCCTACAAGTCTTCGGTACTTATCTTGATCAGCTTGTATTCCTCCCTCAATAATTTGAAGTCCATGGTTAACCATCATTGGAGTGACAGCTGGTTTGCAATCTGTTAGAATAAGTGCCCTTCACTAGAGGGGGGGTGAATAGTGAGGCACGAGAATGTTTATAAATTTTCGCGGAATAAAAATCGCAGGGATAAAGTAAAGAGCGGAATAAAAAGAAGTAAAGGGAGCACACCAAGATTTACCCTGGTTCACCACAACTTGTGGCTAATCCAGCCTCCCGAGAGACTCTCTCGAGCTACACTACTTCCGTTAAGCTTACGGGTGCTTAACAAACCGTTACAACCTGAGAACTCGAGTCCCACGAGCCTCAATACACTTGCTCGGAGATACCGCACTCCAAGACTTCAACCCGAAGGAAAATACCTTTCCTTCGTACAACCAAGGGAAACGAGCTTCCCTAAACGTGTTTACAACACTAAGAACACTCAAGAACAAGACTCTCTTTAAGAGTAGATGTTGAGTAAACTATATACGCTCAAGAACAACTCAACTTCACAAATTGGCTCTAGAAAGCTATGGAAAATAATGTTGTTTGGATGCAATGATAATATGAATAAAGTGAAGTGAATTGATGTGTAAAGCAGACCCAAACACCCCTTTTTATAGTGCCAAAAAAGGCTCCAACGGACCAATACATTAAAGGGGTGATTGGCTTGATTTAAGGGATTGAACAAATTTGGGATCTGCAGGATATTGGCTTCCCATCGATGTTTGGAACTTACCCATCGCTGGTAAGCCAATTTTCCTTCAGTTTTGAAGCCAACGGTCACCTACCCATCGATGGGTAAATGCTTCCCATCGCTGGGTGGGAGGTTGACTTTCAAATAAGGAAAGAATTAGCCTTAAATGACTCCCAACGGTCATGCCTTCCCATCGATGGTTAAGACTTCCCATCGCTGGGTTCCCATCGATGGGTAAAGCTTCCCATCGCTGGGTAAGGGCATTCTGCCTTGTGATAATATTGGACCAAGGCTTGAACAACGATGGGTAGAGCTTCCCATTTCTGTTTGGCATGGTTCTGGAAGTTGGTTTGGCTAAGGGGCTACTTACCCATCGATGGGATGTTCTTCCCATCGCTGGGTGGGTGGTTAGCCGAAGACCTATGGTTTTTGCCTTAACCACGGCCTAGCCAACCGATGCAAAAACCGACCGAAAAATCCAAAGTTCTCCAAAATAAAAACCAAGTGTTTAAGACACTTATTTGATGTATTTGGCTAAGAAATCAAGTGAGACACTTTAAAAATCACGTCATTTGAGTAAAAACCACGGCTAGCCAAGTTTATGCTCTTTTGCGTGGTTTTTGTCAAACGACTAAAAGCGAGAGATGGTTTTCAAAGCGTTTTTGTTGGAGAACTGTTTAGACATGCCAAAGAGTGAAAGGAGATCATAAAATGCTGAAAACCACTTGGTTGGTTCGGATGCCAAAAACCAAACCCGACACCTGAAAGCCGAACGCCGGTTTCTGAAACCCGAACGCTGGATGGCTTGGTTTTTGGTTTGGGCGAACACCAAGTGTTTTTAATGACTTAAACAAGTTTGATAAACATTTTTATAATGTAAGAAATGCAGTGAAAGGTTTTAGCCTAAAGAGCCAATGCATGAGGGTTGGGTCGGTCTTGATTACAATTATGACCGACTCAACAATACTAAAGACTGCGGTCTTCGTTCTTGGTCTCTTTTAGCTCTTGTTCTTTATCTTCGTTCTTCGCCTTGTATATTCAATGTTTGACTTGATCACGGCGGTTTGGCATTATCAAAACCTGTTACAAAAACGAACACGGCTTTAGTACGAAAACGTGACAAGCCCGTGTTTCAACAATTTCCCCGTTTTTGATAATGGCAAACGAGACGAGGTTATGCATAGGAGGATTATTTTGAAAAGGATGTTCCCCCTTAATAGATGCTAAAAAAAATTCCCCCTTAGTTTATGCATAACCTTAATATCTTCCCCCTTTTGACATTAACAAAAAGAATTAAAAGTAAACTTTAGAATTGTAAAAGTAAACTTTTATTCATGAAAAAGGGAAATGCGGAATACAACGGAATGGAAGAAAAAATAAGAAATACAATCATAGGAAGAAGAGAAAAGAGAAGTCTAAGCATTGGCGTCCTCGTCGTCATCCTCGTCGTCCTCGACGTCCATGGGATCGCCGTCGACCGCATCTTCAAAGTCGGCCTCGTCGGGGGAGGAGGATGGAGCATAGGAGTTATCCTCCTCGTCCTCGCCTTCATAGTTTTGGCCGAGGAAGGTGCTGTCAAAGGGCGGCGGGACGTAGTTTATGCCGCGGAAGAACGCCGTCATGTCGTGGTGTTGGCGTTGCAGCGTCCAGTCCATCCGCTC